GAGGTGTCCAAGAGCTGTATGACAAGGGGCAGTACAGTATCTCTCTCTCTGGTACTTAGATGGTCCCCCATCACTGCAGTGTCTGAGTGCCTCACAATCATTAATGTCTTTATCTTCACAACACACCTGTAGGTAGGGAAGTGCTATTATCCGCAGGTACAGAGAGGCTAAGTGATTTGTTCGAGGTCACTCAGGATGTCTGTGGCAGAGAAGGGATGAAACATGGGTTTCCCATGGCTCTAATAATAATGATACTTTGCACTTCTATAGCACTTGTCATCTCAGGATCCCAATGGACATTGCACACCTTAATTAATAAGTGTCATGGCCCTGGAATGGGGGTAGGCAAGTATAGAGGTTAAATGACAGGTCAATAGCAGAACTGGGAATAGAACCCCAGGTCTTCTGCCTCCCAGGCCTCAGCACTGACCTTTAGATACTGTTCTTTCCCTGTACAGACTATGGCTGGTTTGGTTTAAATTTCTTGTCCCCTGGAGACTCAACGCACTCTTTTCATAATACACTCTAATCTCCCTGAGCCTAGAAGCTTCAACTCATTTTCATATCTGGGCCTCCCACTCTTAATTGCAAAGCACTCCTGACTACCACTCTACCTCTGCTCTGGCTAATTACTGCATTGCAGCCTGGTATTATGCATCTACTTTGACATGCTCCCTTTAATTTCCACTTGAAATTGTCTTAATGAATTATTCTAGATTAGATTAAAGTGTGTATCCCTCTCTTACTCATCACCCTCTTTTCCTTCTCCCCTGGCACTGGCACTGAGGTTTTTCACCCACACTCTTCTGCTAACCCCTTCATCATATCCAGTTTGTGTTCACCCAGATAAAATGCTCACCCGGAGCCTCCCCGTCTCTTGTCTTGATTACTCAACTTCCTCCTCTCTGGCTTTCCTGACACTCACTTTTCCCTCTCAAGTCATTCAAAATGCAGCTGCTAAGATCATCTTCCTGATCATCGCCTCCCTCTTTGTGTCCCTTCACTAGCTTCCTTTTCTCCACCACATCAGATTCAAACTTTTACATTTAGGGGGCCTTCCCACCTCTGACCCTCTCGTTTATTCACACTTGCATCTAATGAAATAGATCCAACCCCCTTCACTCTATTTGGTCAAGGAAGCTAGCCTTGCTCAATCATTTATTCACTTCTCCCACACGCACTTTCACAATTCCTGCATTCTGCCACTAGGCATGGAACATTTTACCCAAATGTCTGTCAAATCGCTATCCTGTCCTCCTTCCAGTCCCGCATCAAGAACCATTTCTTTTATGTTGCCTGTGGGAATCTGGCCTCCCCTCTAATTTTTTCCTTTCCTTGTTGCATCTGTTTGTTACATCATGTCTTAAATTTAGACTGTAGGCTCTTCAGGGCAAGGACTTCCTCTTCCTATGCATTTGCAAAGAATTTAGTATGACGAGGCCCTGATCTTTATCTCTGGGTGCTACTGTAACATAAATAATAAATATTTTTAATAATAATTAGTGCCAGTGCTTTTCTCTCTCACATGGCAGACTTCACTTACCATTTCCCTGGAGTGTTCCCCCCCCCTTCCTTTTAGACTTTCTCACTTTTGTGATGGTGGATCAACAGCCTTGTAGACTGAAACCCTTTGGTTCATCTAAACTTCCTTATACCACCCCTGACCTGGAGGGACCTCTCCAGATGTGAAAGGGCAGGTTCATCCTTATTCCCCTCAAATCGTGGAGCCTCTGCTGAGATGGACAACAAGAATGCAATTAGTGCCTGTGGCCACCTATCTGCTGAAAGTGGATTTTCTCTTTTTTGGAGGCAGCGTGTATCAAAGTTAGAGCACCAGACCGGGAGTCAGCACACCTGGGTTATGTTCCCAACTCTGCAAGTGATTCAGGGAGAGACCTGGGATGAGTCCCTTAGCCCCTCTATGCTTCAGTTTCTCCATCTAGAAAGGGCTTTCCCCCACCTTTATAAAACGTGGGAGATCTTCAGATTAAAAGGTGCTAGATGATTGCAAAGCATTATTACCATTACTGTTATCCCAAGTAACTCTATTCCACGTGCAATGACCAATTCTGACATGAGAGAAATGGGCTCATCAGACAGACCATCTCCGTTTTCAGGGAAAAAGTGAGAACTCTCATTAAGAAACCACAAACTGGCTTTTCTAAAGTCAAATAAGATGCCCAAAATGTAAAACGAAAGGGACATGCTTCTAAATAAAGCTGAGGGGCTGTGATATTTTATGTAAAACCAGCTTCTTTTGTAGACTGTCACCATCTCAGATCCTGATCATATCATTTATTTGATATATGAACTTAATACATTGATGCTGCAAGCAGAGGTGTTTACTTACATTTTGTAATACAGTTTATCAAAGTATAGAGACAGGATATGTATGTAATCAAGGTATTGGTATGCATCTGATCAACCCTAGATCCTGTTTTATTTCAGAAGGGTTTAAGCATCAGACACACTTCTTCATGTGATCCTTAGTTATCTAATTTCCCTGCACCTCAAGCATTCTACATGAAACCTGACACTGACTGTACCCCTCTTCATCCCCTGCCCTATCATAACGACAGATGCTACCTGTACAGTTGAACCTACTTGTAATACTTGTAGATGCACGTATAGACAGCAGCTAGCTGTAACATATTCTGTGCTACATATGTGTACACGATACAATGTCATCTCAGGATCCCAATGGACATTGCACACCTTAATTAATAAGTGTCATGGCCC